TGAATTTCTATAATTCAGTGTGTTGTAGTTTCAGCTTCTCACAGAAAGCAAAAGCAATGTACCACTCAAATAAATAAATAAATAAATAAATAAATACATAAAATTTAAAAAGCATCCCAGTAATGATCACTGCCTTGTATCTGAAAGCCTGCAAGTTATTTGGCAGATCAGAATTGAAGGAAACAATGTCTCCACCTTGCTTCCCAAGCAAGTTCTACTTTATAACACATTCTTCACATATTGTTCATTAAGCCTCAAAGAGAGAGTAACCATAGTCACTGACTACACATTAAGGAAGCCACACCATCAATTTTACCAATTCTCTTGTGGTAGATCAAAAGGACCATGAACCAGCCTGAAGGCAGGGTAATTAAAAATGTATATAGTTTTAGCCCTCCCTTTTGTTGGCATGTGAAAAACCTACCCACATTCAGTTCAACTGCAGACTATAAGAATGAAGCTAATTATAATTTGTGCAGAGCACAAAAATTACTTCTTAATATATATTGTAATTTTTGCTGCTGACTAAAAAGCTCTAGAGTTTTAATATATAGGGCTGGAAAAGCACACTGCTGCAGTCAAAACAGTGTCCATTACAGCATGACCATATCCTGAATGTTACTGGTTCATTATTGCCAAATGCAACTCGGGCTCTCCTTGACTGACCTGATAAACCACAACATAGCAACAGGCAATAGACAGTCCTGTAACACGAGCCTTCAGGACATGCAATACTGAACAATATGAACACTACTAGGTGATGGTGTTATCATAACATAATAAATAATACAGAGATGTCAATTTGTGATTTGCCCTTTACTGCCTCTTGCTTCTCCTGACCCTTTTTCATCTTACTTCTTTGCACAAATCTGAAACACTGACAACATCCATGCAGCCCCTCTGCTTAATATGCAAAGAGACAGATGGAAACAAGCCACAGTTGTCTTCCCCTTTCTCATCACACTATGAGTACAGACTGGGGGTTTAATGGATTCAGAGCAGCCCTGTGGAGAAGAACCTGGAGGTCCAATTTTTCATCCCCCTGTACATGAGCTAAAAGCGCATGCTCAAAAAAAAAAAAAAAAAAAAAAAAAAAAGCCAGCTGTATCCTGGGCTGCACCAAAAAAAGGACAGGCAGGCCATCTACCCTGCTCTTGGGAAGCTCCATCTGGAGTACTGTATTCAGGCCCGGAGCTGCCAAAACAAGAAAGACAAGGAGCTGTTGGAAAGCTTTGTCTTTAAAAGGGAAAGAGCTGAGAAAATGCTGAGTGCTGAGGTTGTTCAGTCTGGAGAAGGCTCTAGGGAGACCTTCCAGCAGCCTTTTGATACTTAAAGGGAGTTAAGAAAGGTGGAGAGAGACTTCTTAGGAAGAGCCCGTAGTGACAGGACAAAGAATAATGGCTTTAAACTAAAAAAGGGTAAATTTAAATGAGATATAAGGAAGACGTTCTTCACTATGAGAGTGGTGAGACACTGAGACGGACTGTGGCAAAGCTGTGAATGCTCCATCCTTGGAAGCATCCAAGGACAGGTCAGACCTGGCTTTGTGCAACTTGATCTAGCAAAAGGTTATCTTTAAATGTCCCTTCCAACCCAAATCATTCTATGGTTCTGCAACCAGCTCAGCACTACCTTGTGATACAAGTTTAACTGTGGGAACAAAGATCTTCCACACACAAGTTTTGGTCCCCTCAGCATGTACAGATCAGCTGGAGAGACTACTAGTGAAGAGGGACAACCTCATGCACAACCTCCTCCAATTATTTCTCCAAGATTTAAATTATTGAGCTGCTGATTGTATTTAACACTTTTCATGCTACTATTGCTGAAAGATTCAAACAACATGCACTTTTAAAAATGCAAAATGTAGTTTCACAACTTGAGGAAAATAGCTCAGGAGTTCCAACTTGGTCTTTTTTCCTCCCCTAAATTGACAGCATATACCATCTCTGAAGACTTTTGCTTCAAGTGCATTTCATTCAATAAAGATAAAACTTAAGGAAAACTACTTGCAAGCAAGAAAGGAAGACAACACAATGATTCTGTTAATGGTATAACAAATATTGTAAAGGCGTACCGTTGCTAAAATATTTGCAAGCAGATTCATGATATACTTCTTCCAACCAGCAGTGACAGCGTCTTCGAATTGTTAGTTTCAACATGGACATCAGCATAACCTCATATTTGTGGAAGGTATCAGCACAGATTTTTTCTTCTGTGTTGAAACATTTGTTCATAGTCAACAAGGAGTGGAACTGTAGTCACTGCCCTTCCTCTCTCTCTTCCATGTCCACACATGCAATATGACATAGAACCTGCTTCCTTACTCACTCCTACCCTCCTACTTCATACTACTGATATCAAAGTGCTTTAGTGTAGACTTATTCCTACCATAAGAAACACGTGCACTGGAAAATAATATTACAAACAAATACGAAGCCAAGGACAACGTTCAGTGATGAAACTGTGGACTTGTATGCCTCTTCCTCTTGCTTTGTATAAATGAAATTCCATTATCTACTGCAGAATCTATTCAACATATTTCCAGTAAAGATCAGCAGTGGCATGCATGCCATCATCATTCCCCGTATTTTTAAATTTAATTAAAAATAATCCAAGGCCAGTTGTCACAGAAATTGGGTTTTGATTTTTATTTATTTATTTTAAGTCAGCCTTTAACAAGCTGTTGATTATAGAAAGCACGAAACCTGATACTAGGTGGCTGAGGGCTAGTAGCTAGGCACATAAGAAAAGAATGCATAGAGCTCTCACTGCTTCAGACCCTGCAGTCCCTGACCAAAGCACTGATTTGATTTCATGACTGCTCTGTACAGATAGCTGACATTACTAAACGCTACTCCAGTATCAACTTGTTAAATTTGAACTCAGACTCAGCATATCAATATACTAGGCCAGACTAACTGGAGTCAAGAGAAATATTTTGGGACTTGTTTATTTTTAAATGACTCACAACACACCATGATAATTAATTGGACTATATAATTAAATGATTGCCATAGAATCCATTGTATCTGTCAAAGGCTGTAATAGCAAATACAAAATTATTCCTCTAGCATACTCTAGTGAATTGCTGGACTGTCGCGAAGTCAACTACAGCTTTTGCTTGGTTTGCTGGGGGGCTTTTAATTCTTTTAAATAACACGTTTGATAGGAAATGGTATACAAAGATCTCAGAAGTGATATGGCTCTGTGCCTTTCAGAAGAATGTGGAAAAAGAACACTAATATAAAGCCTTTCTTATCCAGTTTTCTGATGTTAGAGATCTTTTTAATTTGTGGAAATGGCACAAATTATGTATTTGGCATAAGTCAAATTTCTGCAAATACACAATAGGTACAAAACTGCCATAATTTGGGATTCAGATTCTTGATATATAAAGTATTTTAAAAAGTGAAATCTGGCCTGGATTTCCTGACAATCCACTCTGAACACCATTTCCAAGAACTGAAACCAACTATTTATCAGTTCAGTGATGTTCTCCAGAAACACTGACAGAATAATCCTGAACTTGGATGTTATCTAAATTAAATGTAGTAAAATTCATTTGGTATTTAAATATATTTTACATATTAAATGACATTAAACACAGAAGCCAACAGTGAAATGTACTTGAAATGCATGACTCAAAAAAAAAACAAACTGAAGAAGAGAAAACATGTTAAGTATAACTAGATCCAGACTCTTAAAATGCCATAATCTGTTTGTGCTTATTGTGGAATTTGCCATCAGCTTTACCGTGAGATTTTGGAGGAGGAATCAACAAAGAGCATGGTGATTTCCACTGATCCACTGTGAACTTCATAACGAAGCTTAAACCAGGACCAGAATTTTTACAAGTATATGACTTTTTAGGCAAAAAGCAAATTAAAAAAATAAAAATAAAAAAATCAAAAGTAGTAAGTCATCAGGCAATGGCAATGGAAATTACAGGATAGTATCTTCAAGGTAATAATATTAGTAGTTCAGTACGGAACTGTCAGATCTTTGGCCTAAAACCCATTACTTCAATAAGCAAATTAAGACTACAGTAATTTGAATTAATGGACAATGAGTTCTTAAAACTTGAAATAACTTTTCTAAGTATTATTGCTCTTTCATCAGCATTCACAATAGTAATAGTAAATAATATTCAGCTTGTTCAAGACTTCACAACCTCATTTAAACAAGTCCTAAAATTCACATTTCATACAGTTTATGCTTTACAAACAATACAAACTGCTTCAAGACCAAACTCTTCCAAAATTTAGTTAGACATAAGTTTCATTACCAAAAAATATATTTAAAATAACTTTCTAGAGCTGAGTACTATAATTTGGACAGCAATGTTGTTGGGAGAGATATTAAGTTACAGCGTCCTGCTCAGACTGAAGAAGTGGTTGGAAGAGAAAAAAAATAAAAGGAAAGGAAACTGAAAATTCCTGTGGTTCAGGGTGTATACAGAAACAAACGGTATTTACAATTTCTCTGTTCAAATATAACTTATCTTTAATCTTACATAGAGTATCTTTCATTCTGAAAATAAAGGCTACATGAAATAAACCTGAAAGACTTCTTCACAGTGATTTATGCATTTCTGCCAACTTTAAATGCAATGTTAATCATTACTGTAATTGAGCTAGAAAGTTATGTATTTAAAACTTTACAAAACTGAAGCTTAGTTATTTAGACATTGAAGTTATTTAAACAAGAAAATCCCTTCAGGTTCATGTAAGCAGGAAATTGTTTATAATATAGTAAAATATCTGTATTTAATATATGACAAATTCACCAAAAAGAGCACCATATTCTAAGAATCAAATCTAAAAAATGAGTGTTGTGCATAATATAAAAATTAATTTCTGCAGTGATGACAGTTTGACAACAAGGAAATTCTGAAATAGCTGTGTTTAAAGTCTTGATTATAATTTTTTTTAATTTTAAATTTATAATTTTAATTTCAGCTGTAGAAGACTGAATTTTCTATAAGTCAGAACACTCACCTTATGAGGCCTCCACAAAGAAGTGCTAGATATTTCCCTTTTAGAGGTTCCATATCTTTTCTTAACACCACTTGTTTTTCCTTCGTTCCCAGCTTTGAACTGTATGTGCAACTGAGACGTCCCTGCATTATGACACTTGTATTTAAGACTGGATAAACAGCAAGAAACTTTCTGACGTGATCCTTCCAATGAAACACTTCTTTGCAAAACATGGTGGGCTTTGCTCATCTGTGCATTCGGTCTTCCCAGTTCGTTTATATTCATCTGGTATTCTGAATCTATTTTTGAGGGTAAACATGCAGATGTGCTGCGTGCCAGTTTTAAAGGAGGGTATTTTGCACTGGAGTTCAGATTTAACTCTTGACTGCAACAGCCATTAACCATTTCACTGCTTGATGCAAATGCTCTTGGAGTCAGATGAACTGAAATACATGAGAGGCTGTCAGCTATTTCTTCACGAGCTGCCTGCTCAGAACTGTTCAAAATTTGACTTTTGTCCTGTAATGATGTATGCGAGTAAAGAGGTCTTATGTCTCTAGCTTCACCAGATGCGCAAACTGTTTTAGACAGTCGAAGTCCATTGACTGCTGTTGAAAGGAATCCCTTGGAAACAGTTTGATCTTCCTTACGTGCCAGCTCACTAGGAAAAATAATCAGTTTATGTGATGTTTGATAGGCACCTTTATGTGGCATCTGACCTGAGGTTACTGGAGACGCTGGAGGAGTACTGGAAGGACTTCTGGGGAAAATTACCAACGATGAACACCGCCGCAGAGGAACTTTAGTTTTCTTCCTCACTGACAAAGCTTCTTGGTCAAAAGCTGTATTAATTCTACACACTTCTATTTCTTCCTGAGATGAACTGTTTCTGTATGGGCTATATTTGTTTGCAGCGTTTCCATATGACGAATCACTGTGTACAACACTACAACAGAAAGAACCACCGCTTGTCAAGAGAGTGCCGCTGCCGCTGTCACTGATGATGCTGTTACTATACGAACCTCCATCGCTCGTGGTGCTTGCACATGACCCATAGTCACTGCCAGCACTGCTGAAGGATCCATTGTCACTGGCTGCAGTACTGTTAAGACTGCCGATGCACACAGCAGTATTGCTCAGCTGGCTATCGTTAGCTTGATGATCAACCACAGTTCTAACGCCATGATTTCCCTCATTACAAATACCGATGAATGAAGCATCGCTGCCAGTAGCTGCAGCATCACCAGACCGAAAACATCCACTGTACCTTCTAGATTGCAGAGAAATGTGCAGTGATGTGCTCTTTTTTTTCTGCAGTGAAGAAATAGTTGCATTTCCCTCTTGATTAATTACTTGCTGCATTACAGGTGCACATGCAACTTGTCTAGAAGCCAGCTTCATTTGTGTAACATTAGGTCCAGAATTCTGTGTCTTTTTGAAGTACGTTTGATTGTTACTATCCAAAACATCTTCGGAGGTTTCCGATAACAGATCTGTGTTTCTTCTTTGGGTTGCAAAATGCAATCTTAACCGTCGTGCCATTTGTTCTCATTTCCATGCATATTAGCAAATTAAAACCACAAAGATCCTTCAGCAGAAAGTCTACAAGCAGCTGCAGAGAACCTGGAGCTACTACATCACAACAGTAAAAGCCCATAAAAGAAGTTGCAAGCTTTGTCCTAATTTCTACAAGACAGTAGTGTTAAGAAAAAAGATATTGTACCTCTTGAAATCAGTCAGCCATTTGTTGAAGTGCAGTTTCTGGACCGTCTTTGATTGCTCGCAGTCAGAAAGCATTCATTTATAAAGCACTTACATTCCAGAGACCTTAGCTGCAACGTACTGACAAACACTATCAACCTTGTTTCAATTATACCTTCTGCAATTTGCATATATGAATATAATAATAACCTCCCAGCACTTTCAAGTTTAAAACAGCAGCTTCTGCTGCAGCTGCACTAGCTGAGTCAATGTGTCCGTACTTTCCCCAGCAGCGTATGACTACTAATATTTTTACCCATAGGTTTAGAATTACAGGAAGTTGGTAGGAATGAAATCCCATATAATTGAGTATCAAGTCTGGGATTGAATTTCCAAATAGTAGCCATGCTAGCAAACTGCTGAGGTCTGACTTATGCATAAACCAGCGAAATAACCCTTCTCCTAAAACAGTTTTTCTAGGCTATTTAAACAAAACTTGAAAGAAACCTGGCATTACCTAACAATCTGCATTCTGTTTAACCAATCACACTTTGCAAAGATTTCCACACAGTGAAAAGCTCTCCTACCACTTAGTTTATATTTTTTAGTGAGATGCCTCTAAATTTGAAGCACAACAAGACATTCTGATTAATAATTCAGCACTTACTTCCAGCCTGCCATATTCAATAATATATTTTAACCTTCCCAAATTACAGCTGTCGAAGGTAGAAAGAAACAAAATATTCTTACAGTGCAAAGCAAACTACCATCTTGTTTGCTGGAAGCCCAGAATAAGTGGACATTCATTACAGTTCAATATGGAATGCAAATGTATGCCCAGCTACATAAGCTACAGAACACTGAGAGAATTATGCACTACAATAAATATGGTTACTGAACACAATTACAGAGGAAAGCCATTCTGTACAATTACATATAAGCTGTCATCTACATCCATAGCTAACTACTAAGATTTGGTTTTTTTTATTCAGTAAAACAATCAAAAAGAACATCATATAAAGAAACTAACATACAGTCATCTCTTGAAAGAATAACAGGACTTTGAGCTCCTACAAATGTTTCACTGTCTCATCATCTGGAAAGGCCCTTTGCTGGCATCTAGTGGGACGTCTGAAAAAAGGCAATCTTGTCATTTAATATATATTTTTCCTTTATTTTGTGTGTGTTCCCTCCTCTTCCCCCCCCCCTTTTTTTTCTGAAACATATTTCATATGAACGTACTTATGAATACAGGAGCCATATATAAATATGCATATACAGTACAAAACACTACCAGACTAGCATGAAATTACTTAGTGCCGCTGAGAAAGTGCAAACAGAGGAGAACACTAGGCCATTTATACTTTTATAGGTCACACTACTAGATTTTTTCTGCCCCGTATTTATTTAACCTTTGCTGTATTTTAAGCTAGAAGGTAATAAAATTAACATTTAAACCTCCTTCCCAAATAAGAGCCAAGAATCCAATTCACAGTACTCTGTTTGCAAGCAACAAATTTGTTTTCTAATTATACTCCAGGGCTTACTTAACCTCCATTACCTGAATTCCATGATTAGAATGCAGCAGTAAATGAATACTACCTTATTCATAAAAGCCAACAAATACAATAGTTCATCTATTTCATTATGCTTCACCAGCTGGATTTCTTCTAATGTTATGTGCTGAAGCAGGAAGAAAAGTAAAATACCATAAAAGCTTTTTTGGTCACAGTTTTAAAAGAGTCACCGTTGAACTACAAGCAATATATCTTAAAAAGTGCACACCCTAAACTATGTGAAGGAAAAGCAAACAATGCAGTTCTTCAAGAATCTTTCTATCCCAACAATACACCTATTAGCAGCACAGTTTGCAACACGTTAGTTTCATATACAACAAACTACAACAGTTTTACTGGACATACTGTTTTCAGTAATCAGTAAGTTAGACATTAGGACATATTAGTGATAAAATCCGTGCTGCAGGACTTCCAATTTATGCCAGACTTTGAAGAGGATTTTTGAGCTAAGTTTTCAGGAAAGCAACATAACTTAAAAACAAGAAAAAATTTCAAGCTTCAATTTCTCTCCATAAGCTAAGGAGAATCAAAACACATGGGACAGAATTCTACAAAGAGGAAGACGGTCCCACAACTGTTATCAGCTTACATCTACATTTTAAACAGCTGTCCAACAGACAGAACAAAGAATGACTGATCAATATTCAAGCCCACTATAACCAATGAAAATGAAACACCTTTTGAGCACAGCTGCATACACATCCTTGTGAAAATGCATGAGGAATCCATGATTTTTGACATGAGAAGATAACAGAAGTGAGCAAGTCTGTCAATCCCCAGGAATCACGGCTACGGTAATGATTTGACCAACTGAAGTAGTTCAAGACATGTGGGACAGAAATTTAGTGTTCACCTAACAGAAAGCAAGCCAAATAGAAATAGAAAAACAGCCTTTTCCACTGATTGAATGAGGAGAAGGGAAAGATTTAAAAAAAATGTTATCACAGAACTCCACGGTGAGTGATTAGGTCATGCTGCTCTGACCTTCAAACTCAGTCACACAAAGGAAACAAAGCACTATTCCACATTGATGCCAAAGCCTTCTTGATTCCTCCTCCATAAGCAAAGAGGTCAAACAACTCATCTATTTTCTATTAGAGAATGAACAACAAGGAATTCTCTTAGTGGAAACTAGAAACCTCTGCTTTTTCCCCTTAATTTAGGCGTCTGATTTTCTAGTCACGTCTCCTGACTTCCACTTGGTGGCAGTAAGGATCCAATGACTATGGACAGTGCTTCAAGCGCTGCAGCACTTAACAGCACTTCGAGACTAGCTTCCACACATCTTGACACATAGACAACAAATTCTGGTGATTCCATTTAAATTCCTTTAAATATCTGAAATATCTGGGACAAGAAACACCACCAGCCAACAATAAAATGACTTGGCTATAGTGTGATGGCTACAACCAAGAAATAAAGCTCTCCTTTTATAAATGCAATTATTCAAAAGCAATCAGACTTTTATTTGCAGACATTTTCACTCTTGCAACCATTAGCAAAATAGCACCTCCATAAAGGATACAACAGATTACTGACAATACAGACAGCGTTACAAAAATTATGAAAGGGTTTTTGCTTCTAACACATTCCTCAGAATTTCCTTTGAAGAAATTCTTCAAAATGGCTATCAGAGCAAAACAGTGTCTGAAGTGCAAACTAAACTGCACTCAAGTCTCTCCAATTAGGTTCTATTGAAGAAAAAGTATATATTCTAGTGAGACAGAATGTCTGTTAAACAGGCCTACAACACAAGCGTTAGCCTTAGTAATTCACAATTGAGCACACAGGCAGGAAGAAAGGAGGACTCTTCACATAGGAAATGAGAACATGGTCAGGAGTTACAATTTCACCAAGGACACAAATGCACAAGCTATCCCTACTTCATTTATGATATCTCATTCAGAGAATAACAAGATAACACTCCAGTGTCCATTTGTTGACGAAGAAAAAGCACGTGATTTCTGTCCTGCTACTCCTTCATGCGATTGAAGAAAATGCCCCCACATATACAAACATCTACACTTTCAACACTACTTTGTAGGAAAAAAATAAGCATTCGGTAGAGAGCTTTCAGTGTCACAGAACGACTCTGCCATACCGCTGGAGAAGCAGTGTAAGAAAAAACTCTTCTGAGTTAAAGCATGTTAGAAGTTCAGAGTAACAGCCTCATTACCTCAGAATTACATCTTCCTTTGGGTTGTTTTTGTTTTGTTTTGTTTTTTTTCTCCAGGTATTCTTTTTAAATTATTTTAATTTTGAACACTGAATCCTGATGAGGTTATTTTCACTGAAGCCTTTATTAAAGTGCAATATTAATATATAAGGACCTACCAAACGGTTTTCATCAAACACTTCAAAAAGGAGCCTGTGTTTCTGAGGATTAACCTAAGAAAAAGAAAGATGTTAACAGTTAAAATACCTGTGGAATTCCACTGTTGGTGTCTTTAAGACAAATGACATATTCCTTTCCTCCTGCATAAGCACAGGAAGACTAATAAAAACCCAAAATTAAAACACGGTTTCTCATAGAGCTTGGTATGAGAGTTCAAGAATGTATCGTTGCTTTTACATATATCAAAGTAAAAACTAAAGGATGCTGGCATCCAGATTATAATTTTTTTTTCCTCCAATAACAGTGGCTCAGAGTGTATGTAAGCACATTGGTTTAACTAGAGGTCTAAAAGGACCAAGAAGTATTTTCCAACATTGAGATACATAACCTAAATATATTTATGATTAAGTTTACAGATGGCAAACTAGTGAACCACGTGTTGTTCTTTTATGGAATAAAACCAATGGTTTATCTTTATCAATCAACCAAGAAGTCTTAGACAACACCACAGCAAAGAAAATTAAAACATCAGTCAGAAAGAAATTATTAAAAGAGGTATAGCTAACAAATGCAATAAAATGACCTCCTTCCTCACATAGCACTCACAGAAAGAAAGATGAGAGGATACTGCCTCTGAGCATGTAAGAAAGGGAAGCAATAGTAATATTCAAAAGAGAACAGTGAAAAGAATTAAAATAGCACCAATGGTACGAGATCAAGCAGGCAATCTAATGAGTTTATCAGATGGGAATTAAAAAGAATTAATCAACCATATAAAGATATCCAAGGGTACAGTGCTTTTTTATGTTGCAGAAAAACTCTGACTGGAAACTGATGACACATGTTACTTTATATAAGGTCACAATTTCCTCATTATTCAAGATTTGAGTTGTTTATCAGAGGAGGGAAATTCATCATCACTTGGGCATGCTTTACAAAGGCAGTTTTCTCACATTCCAAATTCAGAACTCAAGTGTTCTTTAGCAGTCACTTACAAAATTGGGTCCTCCCAGTTCCTGAAACACTCAACAATACAGTCCACATTCTGACCATGCGCTTGTTGGACAAATAAGACCTAAATTAAACATCAAATCTACATTTTGTTCCAAAAATATAAATGATACTATGTTCATTATGCAACACCACCAATTGGCACCAATTAGCCAAAATCTGTGCCATCCCAAATCTAGCTGATAAATTTGTGCCCAAGTTTTTGTGCATTTATGGAAAAAAGAAGGTAAAATTTGCATTTGTGCTACAGAAAAATTTTCAGTCTTGAAAATAACAGATATACAGCAAAGGAAAGTAATCTGTTAGCCTTTGAACATTAACTGTGAACACTGCATTTCTGGTTTAAACAAAGCAGCAAGAAAAAAATCATATTAACATAATAACCAACTTAGGTAACAACAAAAAACAAAAAAATCCACAAAATCTCAAACACTTACTCGAAATAAAAGTTCCTCATTCCACTTTGGGTTCAAGGACTGTAAGTAGGGAGGAAAAGGACAACATTGGTTACAGTACCAACAATATACTGGTGTCTTTTTCTGCTTTTCTTCACGTGTCACATCTATTTCATCTCCTGTAACAACCTACTTCAAGCACAAAAGCTTTAATCTTGCTATTACAGATAGAAGTCATAGAAGTCTTATGCTATTTAACACAGTGCAAAATTGAGACAATTTATACATGTATTCTCAGATTTTGGGTAACAGCAGGGATGCAGAAAAGGCCTGTCCTGCCATGCAAATCAGTTAATTTACTGCACGTCTTCAGTAGCACTCTCTGCTTCCTCTCAAGTCCATAACTGCTATCTGCATTGCTTACATGTAAGCACAAATTAATTCTAAATTATGAACTCTTAGCAAATGCCAGATCTCTCAACAATGTCATCTAGATACAGCAGGCACATATGGACCAAAACCAACATTCTCTGATCAACCACGCATCTCCTCTGAGTGTCCTATTTTTAAAAATACTTCAGATGCTTAATAACAATTATCATGAAGCTGCATGAAGGTGAAATAGAACCACAGAACAATTCTTGGGTCAGCTCATAACACAAATCATAATCATTACCAACCACAATTTGGAAGATCATTTTCTCTCTCGTGTATAGTCTTCCCTTTCCAATAGACCTACCA